GCGTTGACCGCTCCCCGGGCAGAATACCTTGCCCGGCGGGAGATCTCCCCTTTCCTTCCACCCGCCACAGTGGTGACCAACCGACGTGATATGAACACGCAACCAACAACCTTCGGAAGCTACAAGTTCAAAAGCTTCGTCATCGTCCTCAAGTACCCCATTCATTCGCTGCCGAGCAGATATTGTCTGCAGTCTTCACATTCTGCAAGCCATATAGCTTTACAAAAAGGTTCATCGCAGCACTGGAATAATAATGCTTCCTGTTCCTTCAAGCTTCTCTCTGCGCTACAGTGTTTCGGCACGGCTCTGAGCCTTACTGCTCGCTTCTGCTTCACGGCACTCTCGCAGATTACTTGCCTTCTTCTCGACTCACCGCAGACTTACAAGGCAATTCTCTGGCACTTGCAAATTCGTCGACATCTAGACTACACTATCGACCTCCGGTCTGAGCAGGGGGGTGATGTGGCGGCGCTGTCGTCGCGCCACAAGCAAAACACATCGAATCCTAAATCGCACTAACAAAGTTCCGAAGTTAAAGTAGCATATATAGAATAGCTCCGAACTACCAATCGGAGCGTTGACCGCTCCCCGGGCAGAATATCTTGCCCGGCGGGAGATCTCCCCTTTTCCTTCCACTGACTACAACCCCTTTTCCTTTCACCGGCTACAAATCGATTCTAAGCTAATTTTGATTAAGATGTCTACTTGTGTCAAAAGAACTGGGTGATTCCAAAAGGAGCAGCAACGGAGCACATACGTAAATTTTGAAATGAAAAAACAGAATTTTAAGATGCAAAGTGCATAATGTGGACTAATTTCAAGAAGACGACGATCAGCAGAATTTTAAAATTTAAAAATTGAATTATTAATATATTCGGAAACAGATTCATCAAAAACTGGAGAACCTAAAAGGTAAAAGGAATTACTATTAACTATTTTAATATTTAGAGTCAAAATATAAAATTTTTGTTTTACGTCATTCAAATTTAAGTCGCTGTTATTTATAAAAAGTTTGCATTTGCTAAAGCGAAGCTCCAAACCAACGCCAACTTTAGCAAGCTTCAGATTTAGCTTCAAATTTATTTTTGATTAAAAATATGTCCGTGTTACGGCCTTCGGCTGCTCCCTTAAAGGGTCAAATCCTCTGGGGCCCATAAGCAGAAGACTTCCCGAGCAGACGTAGGTCGGGCCTCAATGTGGCCACGTGGAATTTCTCTAATTACACTAAACTATATGGGGGAGCGTTCTATACTACGGCCAGTCGACCGGAAGGATATTAGACGGAGCTTACTTACCTATATCCAAGGCGACTGGTCCCTCCGGAGTCGGTCAGGTCGCATGTGGTTGTGTGGTGCAAGGGAAATAAGGTGATGTGATGTGTATCTGGGTGTGACTGATGGTGATTGACCCGAGTAGACCTTGGCCGTCGGCAGCAGCCCGGGCGTCGACACCACTCCAAATTGAGGGAACCTTCCGCGGCGTTGTCCACAGTCACTTTCCTCGTTCGTCACGATGACAGTCAATTAACTCTATCGTTTGATTAACTAACATACAGAAGCCACTAACTCTCGTTGGGTATAAGGTTAACGCACAAAACGCACACGGAGTTTCCGGATCAAAGGTCACTACCGTTTCGCGTAGCAACAGTTATTTCCAGAATATCAAAGGCCGCACTAGCTAATATTGCCGAATGCACTTATGCAGATTCTGAGTCAGACACAATGAGTCCCTGGGAAGCTCTCCAGCAGGAATGCGCGTCACAAATCCTAGACCGTATGTTTACTGTCCGCGCCTAATTATTCCGAGTTCCCGACAAAAATGAGAGCGTGCTAACGTTAGCACCGCTTACAGACGACTGCTGCGCTTGTGCGTTTTACGCACGACCGAATGTCAAACCGGTATGACAACGAGCTGCGCGCCCTCTCGCGTTTTTCCTGAAATTAGCGTTTGGCGCGAACAAACCCCCGTCCCAGAAATAAGGACCTATGTCCGCGAGCAAACCGGCAAGCGGGACCGGGTCACGACGGCAAGTTGCAAGACTTAGGCACCCCATCAGATCTTGCAACCCTAACCTACGCCTCAAAATTACAGTCCCATCGTGGGCAAGCCGGAGGGTTGAACTGGATGCCCTTCCTGGACATCGCAGCCCATAAATAAGTCCTATTCCTAGACAGAAGTCCGACGACCTCCTTCTAACACCTATCTGTGCTCCTATGATTAGTTCTGCAATCCGACCGGATCAGGTCTGCAAACAGCGACGCGACACGAAGCGGCCCAGAGTGACCTCCTAAGCTTCAGTGCAGAGAGCACCTCCAAATTCCCCATGAACGTCGTCTGTGGAGAGCCGAACGAACGCACAGATAGTTCCTAGTATGAATTTTCAAACAAGTCGGCATAGCCAGGCCATCCACCATATAATCATTTACCAAATGGTGCGACAACTGATTTCCATCTGATAATCTACAACTAGCCAGCCTGTTAGGCAAGTAGTCCTATGCTCATATTTCGACTAATTTTTCAAAAGCATCAATGTTCAACTACAGAATTAATTCAACCAAATTAATCACCGATGCACATAGGACAACTTGCAAATTAAACAAAACAATAAACGTAAGAGACAGCCCTATTTCTCAATTCAAATAAGTATCTTAGGCAGTGCCTACAAATGCGAAAACCAACGGAGGAACGACTCCTTATTCCTTCTAAATAGGGTTATCTAATTTCAGCCTTCATTTTCACAATGCAAAATGATTAAACACTATCACAAAACATATACACAATTTTCCAAATAGCGCGACATTCAATTTCAAATGTATTCAAACTTTCCTTTCAGCAAACAGACGCAACAATCAAATACAGTGATTAAATATATTTAAAAAACATATGCAGCCCCATTTAAAGGAGTAGATTAAATTCAATTTTTTTAATCACAACCACTACAAATATGAATTTCGCGGAAAACCAAAAAGCATTTTTTAATTTTAATTCAAGGAAATTTTAACTAAGTGCTCGACCAAACCAAATCTAATACCCCTTGACAGCGTGATTCAACGCTCCAGGGGGGCCCTAATCTTCCCACCACCAAGTGAAGGCCACACGGCGTGAACCCGAGACCAATAGAGCGCAACCGCTAACAGTCGCCAATCGGGTTGTACGCCTTCACTGAGGCCGTCGGCAACAGAACATTTTGACAAGTGGACTGTTGACGGCTTAAGGCTGAGTGGAGGCGGCCGTGGTGGGAGCTAAGGCTAAGCTAAGCTAAGGCGCGGTGGGAGCAAATGGGGAACAGTGGTAGACCAGTCGCGGCCACTCAGCTAACGGGAGTAAGAAGGGTCCAGAGGACAGATGAGTGGCCGTGAATTTCCTCTCCACACGCTGAGGGGGGTTGATGACACCCCCGCCCCTGGGGAAATTACCCCCGACGGGTCAGGGGAAGGACCCTTTTCGAACCTAGGGACCTGGTGGCTGGCAGGCGGGCGCTGAGAGTCGCCCGGCAGAGGGCGTGGCTGAGTGCCCCCGCCCGTGGCGGTCGAGGGCCTGGCAGAGCCCGAGAGGAGACGCCGTTCGCACTCAGGCACAAAACTGCATGGTGATTACCCTGGCAATGCAGACAAGGCCGCCGATGCGGACAGTCTCGCTGGAGGTGCCCTCCCAAACATGAGCAGCACCAGCGGCGCTCCTTGTCGATAGTTCGCCTCGCCGGAACCAGCTTACCTAATCATTTCGGGCACGACGTTACCTGGTGATCAGATGCTCGACAATAGGAGCAAGGGGGGGTTGACGACGACGGCATGGCTCGTAAGTCGTCAACGGTGCCCGTCGCGTTCTCGATCTGCCGGCACTGCTCCTCCAAAAACCGCAGTAGGTCTTAGAAGGGCGGAATATAGGAGGCCTCGTCCCCGCCGTACCTTTTCTCAAAATGGATTCGAAGGTCGAGAGGTAGACGGGACAGCACGATGCGGAGCAACAAAAAAGCCCATTCGCCCACTGTTAAATCCAGCCGCCTCAACGTATTACAGGCCATCAGGACTGGATCCAAGAGGTCTGGACGTAGTCTGGCCCGGTCACTAAGCAGCGGGAGGCTTAGAAGCTGCTTAACATGTTCGTCCGCAATTCACCGCACGTTGGCGTATCTTCTGGCTAGGAAGTCCCGAGCAGTCTGGTAGGCGTCGTCTGACAATCTCAAGTGGCCGACGATGTCCAGGGCCTCCCCCTTCAGTGAAGCCAGGAGGTACGCCATCTTTTGGCTCGGGGTGAAGTCATTGTGTGTTGTTGGAGTACAGCTCCTGCTGAGAGATCGGACGCATTGCTGAAGATAGCAAGGGTTGCTTCGTATGATGGGTGAGCGAGCAAAGCTGCATTTGGATCGCAAACTTACAAACTTCAAATGCCTTCGTGGCTTTTTCATTCCATGCGATTGCCGTTTTATCTTTTTTTTTCGGGTTGTGAAGGTAGGCGTGAAGTGGTTCTCTGATTTCAGCGGCTATAGGTATGTGCTATCTGTAAAAATTAATCATTCCAAGAAAACGCCTTAGTTTTTCGATTGTTTTAGGTTTCGCATAATCGATGATTGCTCTGACTTATTCAGTAGGCGGTTTGATTTCTTCCTTGCTGACGGTGATACTAAGAAATTGAACTTCTTGTTGTCCAAATATGCATTTCAAAGGGTTGACTGTATATATATTGTCTTCTAATCGCTGTAGCACGGTGCATAGATGTGTTTCGTGAGTTTATTTATCAGGGCTAGCAACAAGGAGATTATCAATGAATGCGAAAATGAAATCCAGTCCACGAAGTACTTCCTGTATGAATCTTTGAAAAGTTTGGCAAGCGTTCTTCAGTCCTAGGGTAATTCTTAGAAATTTGACTAATCCCATTGGGGTAATTATTGCTGTCATCTCTATATCTTAATCGCGTACTTTTATTTGTTGGTAAGCTCGGTTGAGATCAATGGTGGTGAATTTATTCTTAACTGATAGTTGATGAGTGAAATCCTTGACTCACGGTATGGGGTAGCGGTCAGGAGTGGTAATAGAATTCAGTCTTCTGTAATCTTCAAAAACTCGTAATTCTCCATTCTTCTTCGGTACAACATGAAGTGGTGACGACCAAGGGCTTTTGCTTTGACGGCATATTCCTTGCTCGATCATGTTTTCGAATTCCTTTCGAACTTGCTTGTATCGGTGTGGAGCGATTGGACGTGCACGGCAATGAAGTGGTGGTCCATTGGTTTCGATGAAGTGCTCAACGTCGTGCTTCGGTGTTAATTTCATTGAAGTTATTCTTGTGATTCCAGGATATTCTTCAAGGATCTTGTGATACGATTGTTGAACATCTATGCTTCTTATCGTAGGTAGATTGGTTGCTTGGACGAAAGACTGAGATGCAAGATTGGTTTTCCCGTCGATGATTCTTCTATTTTTGATGTCGACGATCAACTGGTGATGTTGAAGTAAATCAGCACCGATGATTGGTTTGCTGACTTTAGCGAGGATAAATCTCCACTTGAATGGTCGGCATACGCTTAAATCTAATTCCATTGTTTTTTCTCCGTAGGTGGGAATCACCGTGTTGTTTGCTCCGTAGAGTTGAAAATCCAGTGGCTTCATCTTCTGTCTTCTTTTCGATGGTAAAACTGAGATATTCGCTCCGGTGTCGATAAGGAAGGTAAGCTTTCTTTTTTATCGGTGACGAAAAGACGGTAGGACATTTCTGTTACGCCGGATCCCGTCGCATCAAGCGTATTAGTTAGTTTTTCGACTTCATATTTTCATTTTTGAATGTACACGGTGTTGTGCATTTTCTTGCCTCGAACCAGCAACGTCCATGATAGTAGCAGTAAGGGGATCTTGTTCTTGAGCTTGATCGACTTCTACTTGCGAGAAGAACGGTTGCGACGAAAAGGTGATCTTCGGTGCTGCTGATTGGGCTGGTTGTACTGTCGCTGATAACAGGTTTAATGCTGGGAAGCTTTGAGCGCGGCGACTTCGAATGATGCTTTCCGTATTTCTTCGAGAAGAAACTGGGTATCATTAACCTTGGTTGAGGTGTGGATATGTGGGAGCTACTGCTGCTTTCGATCATCTTGTCCGCCAGGAGTGCCAGTTCGTTAAGCTTCGTCTGCGTGCTGAATGTTGCACTCACTGCTAGTACCGATCGAAAATGTGGTGGTAGGTGGTTTACCCGCATTAGCCGTAGCGTCGAATCTGGGACTTTATCTTGCGCCAAAGTACGCATTCTGCGTAGGAGTTGTGTGGGCTTCTGGTCTCCAAGTTCTATTTCTGATAGAAGTTTCTGTAGCTGGCGACTGTCGGATTCTTCATATGCAGAGATAAGACGATCCTTCAGCGAATTATACTGGTCGGTTGCCGGAGAGTTGTACAACAAGTCTGAAATTTGTTCGATGTCTTGTTTCTCAAGTTGGGCATTCACCATCTGTGCTAGTTGCGCTTGACTCTTCTTTAAATCATTCGTTGCGGATTCAAAACTGACAAACCAAAGTCGTAGTTTATGTCCCCAAAACGGTGGTATTCTCAACGATAGGGATATGCCGGCGATTTCTTGTTTCTTGTCCGGGTTTGATGTATATGCGTCACGTTATCGTGGTCTTAAAATTTACCAACCATATCGATAGCATAATCGACTCAGCTACGAGTACTAAGTCACTGGATTTTTAATGTGTTTAATTTGTTATGAAAATGATCTTTGTATCACTGTAGTAATTTCTGTTGGTAATCCTAATAAATAAAATGCTGCTTCCTATTTCCTGATTCAGTTTCCCCCTTGTCCCCTCTTACGACATCCACGGGACGATATGTGGTAGTGTACGAGATATTATTACACTACCACTACAGGGTCAAATATATGCACTTTTATTTGAAAGGACTTTTATTATTTTATAAAAAAATATTAATTTTAATATAATATGTGGTATCACAATCGCTATTGCGAGACAATTTCACAGAATTTAGGACTTTATAACGCATTAATATAAAACATATTTTATGTACTATAAATATTGATGATGAGATATTAATTAGTTATATAATTTAATTTAATTTAATTTAATTAAATATAGTTAGATAATTTAACAGTGGTAGAGCCACGCGGCAGCTTTTGCTGTCGCACAGATGGGCCGGCTCGAACCGGGGTGGTACCACGACCTCACAGAATACCAGCGTGAAGTAGAGGTATACCTCTGTCTTTCGCTTGGTGAGTGCAGGTGGCCGGAGGGCCTTTTTACTGGAAATGAGGCATTCCACCTTAGTCCTCGCGGGTGACAACGCATCTGCATTTTGATTCGCGGGCGAGGATAGATGTAGATGTCTATGGGCCGCAGCAACCACTTACCATCAGGTGGACTGTGTGCTCGTTTGTCACCCTTATCCTATAAAAAAAAGTTAAGAACCGCGTGCAAAAATAAAAGTAGTAGTAGTGCAGTCGACGTCGCCGGTAGATTAGCAATGAATTACGGCGCTGAGGGCTGCAGGATTCAATCCCGTACAAAAGAAATATTTGTATATCCTACAAGCAATTGTTCCGGGTCTGGATGTTTGTCTTTATGAAAACTGCCACCTCGTGACAGGAGAAAGTCCTACTTTGGGTATAACGTTTTTATAAACAAACAAACGCAAAAAAAACAAATTAGTATTTAAATCTTGTTGGAGTCTATTTCATCTTTTTTATTAAATAGGGGGCAAACGAGCATTAATCTCACCTGTCTTGTACAATTTCCCAGTCGTCTAAAATAGATTCATTCGCACAGCCACTGAAGCCCGGTGGTACCAGCGAAACTCCGACTTACACTGAGATTGTCAACTGCCGACGATCTCTGAGTATCTCAAGAAAATGTGTGGGCGCTATTTCGAGAGAGTAGAGACACATCCGAACCCGCTAGTGGTAAACGCAGCCACATACGCTCCGATTCCGAACGTCACGGAAAGCCTCCTGAGACACCGTAACGTTCTAATCGAACCCCCTGTTCCGCTAGATGCCGACGACAGAAATGTCACCAGCCATTCACACACAAACACTACACACTCACCTATTGACACAAACACAGTTACGACAACAACGGATATGACGCAGCGAGTCCGTAGACGGGCGCGTTGCACACCCCACCACACTGCGTACACACCGTACACCCGCGTTGCTGGGTGGTTCTTACCACCCAAAACATCGAACGATATGAGTTAGCCGTCAGAGCCGGGGCCCGTCAACTCCTGTTCGGACGCCAGTTAGATAACTCATTTATGTGCACTGTTAACTGTACTAGGAGTCATCGTTACGATAGTAACGACGCAGAATAATAAAAATTCACCCCTTTTTAGTTGTTTTATACAATAAAAGTGTCATCCATTATCCATTCCAGCCTATAAAAGTGCATTGCTTCTATATTAATATTTAATAAGATTTTAATCATGTAGTACACAACTTCTTGCGTTTAGTTTTCTTTTGTTTCTTAGTTGAGGTGTCTTACTCAATAGGTTGGTTTCAAAGATATTTTATTTATTATTTACATTACATTATCTTTGGTTGGATTATACTATGCTTGGTACATATATTGGTAATAGTACTTGTTTTGCAAATGTACCCACCACATATTATTATTTTCAATTTGATTTTTATGAGTTTTTATTTTGACAATAACATTTTTTTTAGCCTTTGATAGACAAAGGACACATGTGTCATTCAGCCAATGTCGTTTTTTTTTTACTTTGACTTAATCGATTTTCTTTTGGTAAACATTCTCTTGTACTATTTTGTGTGACAGCTACTTATAAATATTAACATTATTATTAGATAAGAATATCTTTGCCACTTTAGATATTATAGATCCTATGTTTGCATATAAAATTTATTTTATTAAGTTTACTCTGTAAACAGTGAACTGATGGGTTGGTGATGTTTAAGTTTAGTAAGTGTAGTTTATAAATTAGTCTTAAGTGTACATTCCTAAGTTTTTTTTTGTGTATTTATTTTAATTTTTTTTATATTTATTTAATTTTTTTAATTATAGTCCATAAACTATGTCTGATGTTGAGTTGTTTAGCTCTGCAAATGAATCTTCTAGTTTATCTTTTCACTCTTGTGATGATTCTTTCAATGATAGCGTTCTTAATTTATGTTATGATGAGATTAGTAGACATATGGTAGTATTTATACTAGAGCACCTTCTTCCTGCAATTTCCCATATCATCAATTTTTCCCTTGATTCATGTCAGTACCCTAATCTTTGGAAGAGGGCTTTTATAAAGCCTCTCCCAAAAGTTCCTACTCCCATTCTTCCCAATCATTTTCGCCCAATATCCATTCTACCCTTTCTTTCCAAAATTTTAGAATCCTGTGTTTACAAGCAAATCTCTACTTTTATTTCGAAACATAACCTACTGAGTATATTTTAGTCTGGGTTTCGTCCTGGTCATAGTACCACTACTGCTTTAATTAATGTTACTGATAATATTAGACAAGGTATGGAAGAAAAAAGATAACAGTACTGGTACTAGTTGATTTCTCAAATGCTTTCAACACAGTTGATCATGAAATCCTCCTTTCCATACTATCTCACCTGAATTTTGGTCCTACTGCTTTGGAATGGTTTGCATCTTATCTTGGCGTTCGACAGCAGTCAGTCTGTGTGGGGCAAATGTCCTCAGCTTGGGCTGATGTGGATGCTGGTGTGCCGCAAGGCGGTATTCTTTCTCCTATAATATTTTCAATTTTCATAAACTTTATTACCTCCATCCTCGACTGCTCGTATCATTTGTACGCCGATGACCTTCAGCTTTATGTGCAAACTGAATTTGAGGATATACATAATGGGATCAAAAAACTTAACGACAACTTATCAGCTATCAAAGATTGGTCTACTCGTTATGGAGTTTTGGTCAATCCTTTGAAATGCCAAGCTATACTAGTGGGTAGCTCAAGAATGCTAGCTAAGATTAATCTGGCAGATTTACCTCCTATTTATTATGATAGTATTATAATTCCGTTCAGTAATTCTGTTAAAAATCTTGGCCTACATATCGACAGCACGTTGAATTGGAGAACCCAGGTTTCAGGAGTGAGTCGTAAAGTCATTGCCACTTTATGCTCTCTGTATCGTCTAAAACATTTTCTTCCCACAAAAACTAAAACCATGCTTGTCCATGCGCTCATATTACCCATAATTGATTATGCAGATGTATGTTACCCAGATCTGTCCCAAGATCTTCTGAACAAACTGGAACGCCTTCTTAACAACTGTATACGATTTATTTTCGGGCTTCGTAAGTATGACCATATTTCGCAATATAGATCTAAATAAATTGCCTTACAATCCGTCAGAGGCGCAATTCCAGAATATTGCTTGTTCTTTTTTCCATTTTAAATGACCCATCTTCGCCTTCTTATCTTAAGAGTAAATTTCACTATCTCTCCTCATCTCATGATAGGGTCCTACGTTCTTCTTCTAACAACAAAATCTGTATTCCTGTTCACTTCACCGAGTTCTTTGGCAACTCCTTCACAGTTCAGGCTACACGCCTTTGGAACTCCTTGCCCGATGACATCAGAAAAACATCCAACAAGTATGTTTTTAAAAAATTGGTCCGTAACCATCTATTGAAGACAAAGCATTTTACTTGATTCATCCATTTGATATGTATTGCTAAACAGACGCATATATTAATAGGTATTTGTATGTACTAATTATATATTATGTATTTAAATATGTATATTTGTATGTATATTTGTATGTATATATTTGTATATATGTTTGTATACGTCATATATGTATAGTTTATTTATTAGTATATTGTATGTATTATGTAGTTAATTAGTATTTTGTGTACTGTTATTTTATTCTATATTGTCGCACCTACGTCAAATTCTCACCAATCCATGGGTTGACTGGTAGAGAATGCCTCAAGGCATTAAGTCCGCCCTTTGTGTTCTTTTGTTTTAAGGAATGCAATAAAGAATAAATAAATAAAATAAATAAATAAATTGCTGAACGTAGACCGGAGATTACCTCAGATAGAGGATTTTGCCATATTTACCAATCCTGGTAGGCGGGTTGGCAATCGCAGTTTTTTTTATATATATAACAGCGTAATGATTTTTTATATTTATACAAATTTGCAAACTGGCAGAAACAGTAAATAAAAAAATCCATTAAGACTTTAATAATGTATGCACACTAGCAACAAAGAATATTCTTTGTTAACTCGTTTGTTTTCTATGCGTTCTTATACCATTCATCCGATTTCGAAGAAACTTTGGTCAACTGTTGTGTTAGTTGTTGAATATTTCTGACAAAACAAAGACATTCCAATTCAAGCTAAGCACGGCTAGTATTTAACATTATGAATTTTCCCTAATTAAAAATGAAATTATATACGGAAAATTGCGAACTGTTGAAAGTATTAGAGCCAAGCTGCACCTATATTATG